GTGAAACTGAGAGGTAGGGCCATATTGGGGAAGTAGTTTGGAGACACAATGAAAAGAACTTGCTGATGCATTTGGTGCAGCAGGTGAAGGAGCAGTGAGGGGAATTGTGATGCCATTTCCTGTCAGAGAAAACTGAAGGAAACAAAATTTTTAAGAAAAAATCTAAAGTTCCATCCTGGACAGGCTAAAATTTCAAGACAACAAGTGGACATGTCAAGGAAGAAGTGGAATTGAGTTCAGAGCTCAGAGGAGAGGTCTGGACTGTGGATATATACTTTGGAGTCATAAACATAAAGATGTTAAAAGCCATGGGAATAAATGAGTCACCTAAGAGGGTGGGGTGGGGGAAAGGAACCCAGGTCAGAGGCCTGAGGAGCCTCCACGGAGGGAGGTTGAATAAAGAAGAGAGCCAGCAAAGAAAAGAGTAAGAAAGGAGGGATGTTGCTGGAAGATGGTTATGATGTGCCTGTGGACCTTCTCTCAAATATCACAGCGTTCTTTCACCATTCCATGAATTTGCAGGATTTTATTTCTGCGTTTTTCTCCAGTGCTACTGCAGAAGAGGTCATGTTTTGCTTTATGGAAAAGAAAGTACTTGGTTTATTTCATTTTTATATTTCCATTTACTTTTCACTGAATAGTTGTTAAGAATTAAAACTAACCAAATTATGTATATAATAACCTATCTGAACTGCAAGGGGGTAGAAATTCTAACTTTTAGGGAAACCACTTTCCAAGGCCAAACTAATTCATTGAATCTATAATTTTTAAACATCAGAAACATTGTTTTCAGATGACATATAAGATAAAGCATAAATCGTGTTCAGTACCCTATCTCATACATGAAGGGATGCTTGCTAAGCGAAAATCTAGACAAGGAGAATTAGAGTAGCATTTTTATAAGCTTAGCTTTTTCCAAATCAAAACCACAGCACTTATTATCTCTGAGAGAGGCCAGTTTTCTTAATTGTGCATACCAAGTCCATTCCACGAAAAGCAAAAATGTTCTTTGAAAACCATTGTTTCAGAAGATCCTCATCTGCAAAACTAGAAGAGGGTAAAATACCTAACAAGGGTAAGTAAATAGCTAATATGTATAGGTATCATTGGTAAGCATCAAACACTGCATGTAAACTGATGGGTTAATCCAGTGTGTCAATCAAGAAGTCTATTTCACTAAGGTAACCAATTATTCCAGCATACCAAGTTATATTTAGAAAATTGGCTACTTTGTAAAATTAAGAGCTATCCTACTGTCATAGGCAGCTTTTTGCTATACTACCTTATAATCCATGTTAGCACTTCTCTGATTGTATTAGAAATCTCTTCGTGTCTCTGCTTACCTTGAGAGATAAGTTCTTGAAGTCATGTCTATCTTCTCACCGTAGTGCTAGGTCAGGGCCTTCAGAGACCTCAAAGTAAAGGTCCAGGATTCACCTCCATTAGGATGTGTCAAAATGCAGCTTTCTGGGCCCCCCCTTAACATATGGAATTAGCATAGTATTTGCAAGGATTTCCAACAGCTCTAATAGGGCTTTCAAACTGTACCAATGAAGACAATAAATCCCAAAGGCATACTACCTAACAACTATAGGTTGACATTTCTTCTACTTATTGACTTACACTACTGTTTGGAAACTACTGCCACAATACTTGTTGAATGAAGGAACAAAGGATAAAGTGTCACCCTGGGTAAACCTCCACCTTATAATAGAAACAGCTTATGACTATTTTAAGAGTATTATGGCAGTGCTTATCTATGCATTTTTACTGAATCAAGGCAAATAATTTGGGGATTTTAAATAGAACTTAGAGGTTATACCTTGTATAAAATATGTTAAGAAAAAATATACCAAAGATATGTTAAAAACATAAAGGCCTAAACAATCACATTTGTTATCCTTATCATTTATTTAAACAATATGAAAGAGTCCAAAATTATTAAAACCCTAACTCTATGATGAAAATAGTCATCACTTTTTTCATGAAAAACTTCTTATTTTAAGGAGTCATATTTTAAATATAATTAATTAGTCAGGCATGGTGGGAGGTGCCTGTAATCCCAGCTACTCGGGAGGCTGAGGCAGGAGAATTGCTTGAACCCTGGAGGCGGGGGTTGCAGTGAGCCAAGAATGCACCACTGCACTCCAGTCTGGGCAACAACAGTGAAACTCCGTCTCAAAAATAAAACAAAACAAAAATAAAAATAAATAAAAATTTTAAATATATATATATAATAGCTTTACAAATAATTCACTTTTTGATCAACATATGACTAAATCTGTACATCTATCAATATAAATGTGGTAAACAATACATTTTAGAATGGTACCAAAATATAATTTACAATTTCATATATTGAGACCCTCAAATTTCAATCTCAAAAAAGTTTTTAAGTTTAAGTAATGATTTTCATTAAAAAAGAAAAACCTTTTGTTCCCACAAAAATAGAATAGAATATAGTCAATACTATTGCATGGCACAAACAGTTCAAAACATTAAATATTGACTCAAAACTACCTTTAAGAAATTTTTCCAAATTTCTCCTTTTTGTTACTGCTTGAAAAATATCTATGGTTATATTTAAGTCTTAGGAAGACTTTATCCATTTGAATTAAAGATGTCACATTCAATTTTCACACTCCTAGCAGATAATAACCATGAGTCATTTCTTAGAACTACGTTTTCAGGTAATAGAGTAGGAACAGGCTATGCCATTTTGTACACTTCACAATTTTAGAAACATTTTATCACCATGACATGTGTAAGAACTTGTAATTATCTCCTTCAATCTGCGTCAAGAAGATAATAAATGTGCATTTTATACAGGGCACTAATACTTGGAACTGTGAGTTGAATAGCATCTCCTATGTCTTTATTCACTAATAGCTTGGGTAAAACACTTACCTGTCCTTCTAACCTAGTATCTCCACCAGAGTAATGGCAATGCTATTGGTATCCATATATATATTCAGATGTCTCACAGAGCAAAAGGGCCATTATATGATCAATCTTTTACATCTTTGGTTGATAACTGAACTCTTTTTAGAAGAACCATTATGTTGAAAACTCCATTTTGCTGATGAAATTCATTTTGCTACTATGCTAGACAGGCAATGATAACTGAAGGAGACCAGGGAGTCTCTCGAAGTGATGAAAGTCTAGCAATAAATAACATGGGACTGGCTGGGCGCAGTGGCTCATGCTTGTAATCCCTTTGGGAGGCCAAGGTGGGAAGACTGCTTGAGCCTAGGAGTTTGAAACCAGTCTGGGCAACACGGCAAAACCCCATCTCTACAAAAGTACAAAAATTAGCTGGACATGGTGGTGCATGTCTATAGACCCAGCTCTTGAGAGGGTGAGGTGGGAGGATCACATAAGCCTGGGGAGGTTAAGACGGCATTGAGCCATGATCAAACCCCTGCACTCCCGCCTAGGCAACAGAGTGAGACCCTGTCAATAATAAAGAAATAGATAACATGGGACTAAATAAAGTTTTACTTGGAATATGTGTATTTGCTAAAGTTACAAGGGAAAATACTGCAAATTATATATCATTTGAAAAATTATCTCTCTTTAGTTAATTTTCAGTCACAATATTGGATATAGCAGCTCCAAATAGAGGTTACCTGATTATTGCTTTTATGTTTGAATTCTTAAAGAGTTTACATCATAATTATATAATTATATTTTTGAAACATCACAGAAACCCAACATGTACCTATTTGTAATCATCAGAGTATATACACCTGATTAGGGCTCAGCTATGTTCAAGGCCTCATCGAGCTCAACATTATCATTTGCATTTTCTGTCACAATCAAAGAAAACACATTGTGTGCTCCTAGTGGCCACTGCAAGAAGGAAGATACTGTTTCAATAAAAGGAAATCAAGAACAAACAAAATAATCATCCTCCATTGAAAAAAAAAAGCCTACAAAAAAGAGAAAAGGACGGGGTCCTAAAAACATCTAGTGATGCCAATAAAATGGAATGTTTTTTAAAAAGTGATTTGTCTCACTGAAGCTGCAGAAGGGTATCCCACACTTACATGTGACTGCACTAAAAACAGACCCTTTTTGTGCACTGAGCATTACAAAAAGGCAGACACTCACAAATAGATGCATTCTCAAGTATGGGAATAAAATGACATACAGAAACTGACCTTGTTATCAGTTTAGCTATAGATATGAAAGATAAGGATATTTCAAGGAAAAACCTATTACAGGTAGTATATAGAGTACTTGGGCCCAGTTGAAGCCCAGGTAATGTGATGACAGTAATGATAATGGTCCACTGAATGCTAACAGACAAGTATAGTTACAGCTGTACAAGGATATCACAACCTTACACACAAATTCTAGAAAGATCATTGTGAAAATGACATTCCATAAATCACAGGGAATCAGCACCAAGTGTGTCTTTATGCATGCCCAAAAAGGAAGGAGAAACTGACATCCATCAATAATGAACAATGACTTATTTCAAATCTAATATCTAGTGCTGATAAATTTATTTTGTTGGCCGGGCGCGGTGGCTCATGCCTGTAATCCCAGCACTTTGGGAGGCCGAGATGGGTGGATCACGAGGTCAGGAGATCGAGACCATCCTGGCTAACACGGTGAAACCCCGTCTCTACTAAAAAAATACAAAAAACTAGCCGGGCAAGGTGGCGGGCGCCTGTAGTCCCAGCTACTCGGGAGGCTGAGGCAGGAGAATGGCGTGAACCCGGGAGGCGGAGCTTGCAGTGAGCTGAGATCCGGCCACTGCACTCCAGCCTGGGCAACAGAGCAAGACTCCGTCTCAAAAAAAAAAAAAAAAAAAAAAATTTATTTTGTTGTTGTTGTTTAAACTAGAATGTTTCTGTGGGCCTCCTAAGTCATCTTATGCCTAAAAATAGCAGGTCTTTTTTCTGTGTCTTTCCAAGAGAGGTAATATTAAGAATTAATAAGTATTTCAGAGCCTCCAAAACGAACTTGCTAAACAAGTACCAACAAGTTATAACCTGAGCTAGATTTTATTTTCAAATGATGAGTAACAGCAATAAGAAAATCCATATTCTATAAGCTACTTTTGTTACACATTAATGACTAAAACAACTTCTGTGCAGATTTCAAATTAATCAGACAAAGAATATCAGCTTTATGGCATTAAACTCATTTGACAAAGGAGTGGATGGTAGTAAAACTAAAGTTTTATCAGAAAAAAAGAGTTATCTAAGCAACAACCCAGAAAGAAAAGAGAACTACTTCTGATTTCCTAGAATACATCCCTAACAGGTTATTATTTCCGATTACCAAGGCAGCACACAGCATTTTTCATCTAACACTTTACAAAGATGCTTGGTCACACCATGCTCTGCTGCATTAAATGATCTTTGTTGAAACCATTCATTTCCATTTCTCTTACACCTATAAAATGTCAAATAAGAGTGATAAGACAGTCATTTACCCTCAATTTTCTCTACAATGTAAGGTTTAGAGGAGTGCATTAGAACTCTAAAATAATAGACTAATATATTTTCTCAATTCTCCCTTCCTCCTTTCTTTCCACTGGAAGGAAATCTATTTCTGATAGTCTCTCTTCTAAAGTTTAAGGAACTAAAAAGTGCTGATGTTTAACCAAAAAAAAAAAAAAAAAAAAAAAAAGTTCTAAAACAGTTATTTTGAGTAAATATCTTTCCAAAAACTCTACAAAAAAATATAAAATCTTCCCTGGAGTGCTTATAAAAGTAACATAAAAGTAGCTATGGGTGAAAAAAAGAAATAATGTTTTAAGGACTGAAAAAAATCAAATTCAAGTAGTTCTACCCTACCTACCTCTTTTTCTACCCTTCTTTTACACATGCAGAGACACAGCACATATTTCAACCACAAGTTTTGAGAGCTTGTATAAAGAAGCATACAAGAAAATCAATCAATCTTTGTTTTACAAAAAGAGAAAGTTGGCCATAGAAATCAACATGACACAGGAATCTTCCTTCCCTTACTCAGAAAATCAAAAAAAAAAAAAAATTGCTTCTAGAACAATAGGGGCATCATTCACCTTTCATTGCCTGAACATATCCTGTTCAAACTAGGATAACACAATGAAGATGCTATGAGGTAAATCATACTCCAATCCTAGTTTACATTAAGGTTTTGGAAAAAAAAAAAAAACTACAAAGCTATTGAAATCAACTATTTATATGTGAAAAACAAAGCATGGGTATTAATGGAACAGAAAATCATCTATCTAGAAATACTCCTTAAAACTTACTTTTAAAATCCTTTTGAATGAATATTACAATTTATCCTTATTTAGGTCATTTCTCTTAAGCATACTACATCAGTAACATTAAAAAGTACCCAGAAATCAAAATTACCAAAATTATATTTCAAAGAATATATTCCATACACATGAAATTAAATCATAGTTAGTAAAGGTGTCCAAAAACAGATCTTATGGGACTTTTAAAAAGAGAAAAAAAAAGAACGATAGGTCGTTTCTTCAGAGATGGCGTGTCCACATCATAATCCTCTTCGTTTGGCATCACCAATGACTCCCCAAACATCAAAGACAAATTCGTCTGGGAACGCAAAGTCTCCAAGAGTTTCGTCAAGCGCCACAGCAAATTCATCTGGATTAACTTTGTCCTTTCCAGCTTCAAACATTGTGGTGGCTATCAAAAATAATATTAAAAAATTAACGATAAATGAAATAGCATCAAAGGACTGAGAAAAATGGCAACAGGAAAATTACTTGCTAAAAGTAACATACATAAGTATATTTCAAATTAAATGCAAAATTAAATGCAAATTAGAACAGTAAGATACCCTCTCCCACACGCACACATCAAGGTGGCAAAGATACTTTTCAACACTCTGTCCACTGCACCCAGGTTTGCAGCTGCTACCCTTGCCCTCTACTCAACCTTAAAGCCCGTCAGTTGGGAACCTCTGGCATTCCCAAGAGTAGAACAATATCCCCTGAAAGAAACCCTGTGGCTGTGACTAACCCTAGCAGGAAACTTAAAGAACACCCCTTCCCCAACCTCCTAATAGTCACTACTCTCCCTCCCTCCTCCACCAGTCCCCCACTCCCAGCTGAGGTGGAGTCCAGTCCTCCCTACCCAAAGACAAAAAGACAAAGGATGACAGTTTGCACTCGAGCAGTCAAGCTGGGGAGAAGCATAAGTCCACCTGTGGAACTGAGGTACCTTTTCTGAGCCCCTCTCCAGTTTGGGATAGAATGTGAAAGTGGTGACCTTGTTCAGTTTTTCTACTAAGTTGCCTGGGTCCCATATTCTATGTCTTGGAACCAGCATCTTCAGGAGTACTTAGGACTTGCCCCAGCTGCCTGGTAGCCCAGGAGGCTCAGCAGATTTCCACTTAGCACCCTAGAAGCACCAGCAACCAGAAAGAGACTGTGTATATGTGACGTGGGACTTGGGTGAAAAACTTCCATGTGAAAGGGAAACGCCAAAGCCCCAGGGAATAGCTCCAGCATCTCCTTTCCTTCCAGGTTAAGGATGAACTAATCCTAGTTTGTATGACTTCTCCGAATGAGCCACAGGGTCTGGAGAGACAAAGGCTATGCTTCTTCCCATCAGTTCAGTCCTAACAAAAGGCAGGCTAGGAAGAAAGGGAGGAATGTGGCCTGCAGAAGGGCACCAGGATCCGAGCAGAAGTGGGGTGAGGATGCGGTAGAGCGATCAAACCTCTAGTAAGCTAAGGAGGGCTTCTATATGGCCAGGCAGCCTGGCGTGGGGTGGGAGAGTACAGATGTGGTAAAGAGGGCACGGGGATGGGAAGACAGCAGCCACAGTGATGAGAGATTGGTTACACATGTGGAGATGGATCACATACACACATACATACATACACACACACATACATACAGAACAATAGGAATCAGGTTTGTCACTGCTGGAGAAGGATAAATAGGGAAAGGAAGAAAATAAGAATGAACCCTATGGAATTAGAATTGTAGATATCACTGGAAATATATATATCTCCAATTAAGATGTTATAAAATACAGACATAAATGCATACATACACATGCATACACATTCCTCAGTCCTGGAAGCATGACACCCCAACAACAATGAGTACATAAAGCACCCAAATCTTGGTTCTTAAGTACCATTCTCCATTGGAAAGACTAAGACTTCCTCAGAAAATGGTAGATTCCAGGGCTGGAGCAGGCAAAGTGCAATATGAACCAAGAATATCTTGTACCAGAAAGTAAGAAAGTATCAAAAAATGATGGGAACATGTGAAAAGGACATAGACGTCAGAGTGCAAGAGTTCACACTGACCAAATCAGGGATAATTTAAACATCAAAATAAATAATGATGGTAACAGATTATAACTCCAGTGAATAAAACAGGAAGCCATGAATCCATAATAAAATACACAACTGACTGAAGAGACAGATTAAAGAAAAAATGAAGAAGCTGACTGATTCATAAAGGACTGTATATTTACATAGTTTTAAAATGTCTCCCCACCAATACTTGTCAATGAAACAGAATAATTTTACAGTGCAGAAGCCCAACAAACACCACCTTAAGTGATCAAAGTGAACGTTCCTAAGAAAAAAAATCAAAAACCTGTGCTTCCCCATAAGATGTAATGAAAAGAATACAGAATCACATTTGTGATGTTCCTGCCAAAGAGGTGTAACCTGAGTGTACTTATGAAAAAAATATTAGACAAAGCAATGTTGAGGAACATTCTACAAAATAACTGGCTTGTACCCTCCAAAAGCATCAAGGTCATGAGTAAAGAACAAAGAACTATTCCAAATTGATACAACATGATAAGTAAATGCAACATGTGATTTGGAACACATTCTTTTGCTATAACAGATATTAAGGAACTTGGTGAAACATAAATAGAATATGAATATTAAATGGCAGTAATATCAATGTTAATTTCATGGTTTGGATGGTTATGGTTCAATAGGAGAATATCTTTGTTTTTAGGAAACACACACTAAAGTATTTGGGGGCAATGGGACAGCATTAAGGTAACTTACTCTCAAATAGTTCAAGAGAAAAAAGTCTTTGTACTGTATTTGTATCTTTTCTGTAAATTTAAGATTGTTTCTATATATATATATATATATATATATATAAGAATGGCAGTGAAGAAATAAGAGAAATTAAATCTCTTCTCTTTACTATCATCACCTCTCTCTCCATCTTGCCCCAGATCTCAGCCATTACTCAGCCTTCTTCATTTACCATCAGTCTGGAAGCAAACACTTCACAAAGGAGGGAGTTCCTCAGCTGCAGCTGGAACCTCTGCTCCAGCCCAAGGGTCCTGCCAAGTTACCCAGACTCTTCCAAAGTTCCCGAGTTTATTAAAACTTTTTTGTAATGATATGTCAAGGATGGCCAGGATATACTGAAGCAAACACTCAGATACACTGGTTTGACTTCGTAAGTTTGGCTTTTGAAAAATGTTTGGCAACAAGTAGCAAAAGTCGTAAAAGTGTTCGTATCCTTTGATCTACCTAGAATTTTTACTTCTGGAAATCTAGACTTCAAAAATAAAATTTTAAAAACAGAAAAGAATTTAGCATAAAGATGTTCCTAATAGACTCCAAAAAAAATTCTAAAATGCAGGATCATTAAGTTACCTCTGGTATGATGAAATATATTATGTGAAATATTTTTAAATCATTTTAAATAATGTTTATGAATAATTGATAATAACTTAGGGAAATATTTTTGTTCTAATATTTACTGGAAAAGCAGTACATATCTTTTCATTATAATCACAACTATATTTTTATAAAAATATTTATATAGAATGACTAAATGAGGAGGTAGGTGATAATGTAATTTTAGTAAAATATTAATGGTACAGTCTAGGTGACAGGTATATACAAAGGTATTCACTAAAAAGTCTTTCAACTGTCTATCTGTTTGAAAATTACCATAGTAAAATAATGGAAGAAACCTCTATGAAGCAATGGAAGAAAACTTAGCAAAACATAGTACAAAAATTCAAAATAGAAAAAGCTTTTTTAGTGCTGTGTTTGATGCAGTAAAACTATACCTAACTTGTCATATTTATTCTGTGTGTTCATAGGTATAAGGTGTATTTGGGAAATTATTTCCTAAGCCATTAAGGGATGCTTTAATGTCTGTAAGGAATGTTTCATTTCTTTCAACAGACAGTCATAGCACTATAGTTAAGAAAAGAAGAAAGCTGCCCTTAGAGTGCATTTTCACACCATCAGATAAGAAGTCAAGTGCTCAGGGAAGCAGTGCCCTACAGCATTCCATCAGTATTTCAAATAAGTCTGGAGGTTCTGTCTGTGTCTCTCTTCTCAGAGTGTCTTGCCTTGGAGATCTTATCCACAATCCCAGGTTAAGCATGACCACGGTGCAGAGAAGTCCCAAATCTTTGCTTCCATCCCCAACTTCATTCATGAGTTCCATACACCCATTTCTGAGTAACTAGTGGGCAATTCTTCCTGGGTGATCCATTAGCATCTCAAACAACATGTCCAGAAACCAAGTATCACTGTCCCTTCTAAAGGAACTGCTACTTTTCTCTTGTTTCCATCATTTTCTCTTCTCCGAGTTCTTCAGACTGTACACCAAACACTGTCTGTCTCCCTTCGTTCTACCTTTGCAACCTCTCTAATTCAATTCTTTCCATTTCATTCCCACTGCTGCCATGTTATTTCCTAATCTCCAAGTCCAGTCAGCAAACCATCCCACGTAGGCACATTGGACTCCCTTTCCTAAAGTACAGCTTTGATCCCACTGGGTACTGAGACAAAAGGACCATGAAGCTCCTTTCCACCTCTGAGATTATCTGTCATTCCCGTATATAAAAATATTCCATCTGGGCATAGTGGCTCACGCCCACAGTCCCAGCTGCTAGGGAGGTTGAGGCAGGAAGATGACATGAGGCCAGAAGTTTGAGATCAGCCTGAACAACACAGCAACATCTTGTCTCTTAAAATGATGTATTTAATTTAAAAAAATAAAATTCACCAGGCATGACAGTGCACATCTGCAGTTCCAGATACTCAGGAGGCTGAGGCAAGAGGATCACTTGAGCCCAAGAATTTGAGGCTACACTGAGCTATGATCATGCCACTTCACTCTAGCTTGAATGAGAATGAGACCCTGTCTCTTAAAAAAAATTTTTTTGTGTGTGTGTAACCAATGTTTATCTTTAAAACTCTAAACCCTAGTGGTAGTCTAATCTATAAAACCCTTGGTTCTCACTACACTACACTACATTAATGTTGTGCCCTCATAAATCTGACCACTCAAAATGTTATCTTAGCTGCTTTCTGCCTTTGCCCAGGATAACCTCCTCCTAGCCACCAGTACCACTGTCAAAATCCTTTCTCTCCTTCAAGGCTCTCTCCTCCATGCAGTACTTTGTCCACAGCTGGAAGAGATATCTCCATTCTCTAAACACTTCTGCCAGTGTTTTTCGTGCTTAAATGCATAAACAAATCGCCTAGGATCTTGGCAAAATGCAGATTCTGGTTCAGCAGTTCTGCAGCCCTGAGATTCTGCATTTTCAACTCCCAGGCGATGCTGGTCCTCAGGCAACACTTTGAATAAAAAGGTCTTGGACTGCAAATTCAACATTGCTCTGCATTGACATTTATTTTTCTGTGTATTTTTTCTCTCCTACTA